CAAGTTGGGTGGTGTGCTGCTTTGCTGCTTCGAATTGTAGTTAGACCGCTTTGTCAAATATCGTACTGGTCTCGTCATCGTCCAGTAACAATCGACATTCTTTGTTCCGTTGAGACTGTAGCTTTTGCTCGTTTTCGTTGCGCTTGCCTTCCCCTCTTTGGTCTTTTCGATAACCTTGAACCTTCCAAGTTGGAAGGCTGTTGGTTAGCGCTACGGAGATGTGTTGAAGCTAGGTGTCAGGACGTCGAATGTTTCAGTACTCTGTCAGTTTTGTGCCTAGTTATTGCACTTTCTGACTGTATATAGTATCATGTTACAGTGATGGAGAGTTACTCTTAACTCGTATCCATATGTCTTTTTCTCTTCCACATTTATTTATGGCTCAACATCCGAGTTTCAAATTGCACACCTGATGAGCCGTCACGAACCATACGGCGAAACGTACGTCGTGTGAAACAACTTGTTTTGTAGTCAACTAGTCCATCACAATGTCATGCATGAGGAGTACTGTAGGAGTTTGGCTTTCGGCTTGTACAATTCGTTTTCGCAAAGCTTCCCTTTCTTTACTTATCTTTGATATTTATGACCCACCCAAGTTGGGTGGTGTGCTGCTTTGCTGCTTCGAATTGTAGTTAGACCGCTTTGTCAAATATCGTACTGGTCTCGTCATCGTCCAGTAACAATCGACATTCTTTGTTCCGTTGAGACTGTAGCTTTTGCTCGTTTTCGTTGCGCTTGCCTTCCCCTCTTTGGTCTTTTCGATAACCTTGAACCTTCCAAGTTGGAAGGCTGTTGGTTAGCGCTACGGAGATGTGTTGAAGCTAGGTGTCAGGACGTCGAATGTTTCAGTACTCTGTCAGTTTTGTGCCTAGTTATTGCACTTTCTGACTGTATATAGTATCATGTTACAGTGATGGAGAGTTACTCTTAACTCGTATCCATATGTCTTTTTCTCTTCCACATTTATTTATGGCTCAACATCCGAGTTTCAAATTGCACACCTGATGAGCCGTCACGAACCATACGGCGAAACGTACGTCGTGTGAAACAACTTGTTTTGTAGTCAACTAGTCCATCACAATGTCATGCATGAGGAGTACTGTAGGAGTTTGGCTTTCGGCTTGTACAATTCGTTTTCGCAAAGCTTCCCTTTCTTTACTTATCTTTGATATTTATGACCCACCCAAGTTGGGTGGTGTGCTGCTTTGCTGCTTCGAATTGTAGTTAGACCGCTTTGTCAAATATCGTACTGGTCTCGTCATCGTCCAGTAACAATCGACATTCTTTGTTCCGTTGAGACTGTAGCTTTTGCTCGTTTTCGTTGCGCTTGCCTTCCCCTCTTTGGTCTTTTCGATAACCTTGAACCTTCCAAGTTGGAAGGCTGTTGGTTAGCGCTACGGAGATGTGTTGAAGCTAGGTGTCAGGACGTCGAATGTTTCAGTACTCTGTCAGTTTTGTGCCTAGTTATTGCACTTTCTGACTGTATATAGTATCATGTTACAGTGATGGAGAGTTACTCTTAACTCGTATCCATATGTCTTTTTCTCTTCCACATTTATTTATGGCTCAACATCCGAGTTTCAAATTGCACACCTGATGAGCCGTCACGAACCATACGGCGAAACGTACGTCGTGTGAAACAACTTGTTTTGTAGTCAACTAGTCCATCACAATGTCATGCATGAGGAGTACTGTAGGAGTTTGGCTTTCGGCTTGTACAATTCGTTTTCGCAAAGCTTCCCTTTCTTTACTTATCTTTGATATTTATGACCCACCCAAGTTGGGTGGTGTGCTGCTTTGCTGCTTCGAATTGTAGTTAGACCGCTTTGTCAAATATCGTACTGGTCTCGTCATCGTCCAGTAACAATCGACATTCTTTGTTCCGTTGAGACTGTAGCTTTTGCTCGTTTTCGTTGCGCTTGCCTTCCCCTCTTTGGTCTTTTCGATAACCTTGAACCTTCCAAGTTGGAAGGCTGTTGGTTAGCGCTACGGAGATGTGTTGAAGCTAGGTGTCAGGACGTCGAATGTTTCAGTACTCTGTCAGTTTTGTGCCTAGTTATTGCACTTTCTGACTGTATATAGTATCATGTTACAGTGATGGAGAGTTACTCTTAACTCGTATCCATATGTCTTTTTCTCTTCCACATTTATTTATGGCTCAACATCCGAGTTTCAAATTGCACACCTGATGAGCCGTCACGAACCATACGGCGAAACGTACGTCGTGTGAAACAACTTGTTTTGTAGTCAACTAGTCCATCACAATGTCATGCATGAGGAGTACTGTAGGAGTTTGGCTTTCGGCTTGTACAATTCGTTTTCGCAAAGCTTCCCTTTCTTTACTTATCTTTGATATTTATGACCCACCCAAGTTGGGTGGTGTGCTGCTTTGCTGCTTCGAATTGTAGTTAGACCGCTTTGTCAAATATCGTACTGGTCTCGTCATCGTCCAGTAACAATCGACATTCTTTGTTCCGTTGAGACTGTAGCTTTTGCTCGTTTTCGTTGCGCTTGCCTTCCCCTCTTTGGTCTTTTCGATAACCTTGAACCTTCCAAGTTGGAAGGCTGTTGGTTAGCGCTACGGAGATGTGTTGAAGCTAGGTGTCAGGACGTCGAATGTTTCACTACTCTGTCAGTTTTGTGCCTAGTTATTGCACTTTCTGACTGTATATAGTATCATGTTACAGTGATGGAGAGTTACTCTTAACTCGTATCCATATGTCTTTTTCTCTTCCACATTTATTTATGGCTCAACATCCGAGTTTCAAATTGCACACCTGATGAGCCGTCACGAACCATACGGCGAAACGTACGTCGTGTGAAACAACTTGTTTTGTAGTCAACTAGTCCATCACAATGTCATGCATGAGGAGTACTGTAGGAGTTTGGCTTTCGGCTTGTACAATTCGTTTTCGCAAAGCTTCCCTTTCTTTACTTATCTTTGATATTTATGACCCACCCAAGTTGGGCGGTGTGCTGCTTTGCTGCTTCGAATTGTAGTTAGACCGCTTTGTCAAATATCGTACTGGTCTCGTCATCGTCCAGTAACAATCGACATTCTTTGTTCCGTTGAGACTGTAGCTTTTGCTCGTTTTCGTTGCGCTTGCCTTCCCCTCTTTGGTCTTTTCGATAACCTTGAACCTTCCAAGTTGGAAGGCTGTTGGTTAGCGCTACGGAGATGTGTTGAAGCTAGGTGTCAGGACGTCGAATGTTTCAGTACTCTGTCAGTTTTGTGCCTAGTTATTGCACTTTCTGACTGTATATAGTATCATGTTACAGTGATGGAGAGTTACTCTTAACTCGTATCCATATGTCTTTTTCTCTTCCACATTTATTTATGGCTCAACATCCGAGTTTCAAATAATAATAATAATAATAATAATAATAATAATAATAATAATAATAATAATAATAATATGCCTGCTGGCTCATGGACGTCCTTCGAGTATCCATTGAGGGATATTTTACCACATTGATCACAAATTGACGAATTTCGATCCATGATTGACAGCTCACAAGGCCGTGGAAGAAAACAATTCCGCGAAACGCTGCTGCTGCTCACAAACTACAATGCAGTAGCAACTCACTAGTCTGTCCAACAACACTTGAAGTTGATGGGAAGAGTGCAATCGCCCTCAACAACGATATTTTACTCGATCTGTAAAATAATATGTCATGTAAATTAATTTTACAAATCACCTCGTACAGCACGCAAACATATTCAGCCAGGAGTACATAAGGGCCCGGTCACACATGCACTTGAAAGTAGCGTATACGCTGAAGCGAGGTCGCAGGAGTGAAAAATGGCATGGCAACGGCGAAAAGCGGAACTTCCGCTTCAGCGGAAACTCCAATCCGCTTCCTCCAAAATTTTCGAAGCGAGACTGTCGCTTCTGCGGATTTTTGGCGTGCTCGATAGAATTGCACTGTATTATTTATTATTTATTGAGGAGCAAGAAAAGTGTTACCAAACAGTATGAATGCCAAAGGAAAAGAGCAAAGAGAAAGAGAAGGAGAGACAAGGAAAAAGCAATAAGGAGAGACAAATGCGTTTATAGAAATTAGTAGATACGGTACGGTCCGCAAAGGGACGTATGTGAGCAGGTACACTGAACGTGGGAAACGTATCCGAATACGGGGGTACATAAATAAACTCTATCGTACGGGAAATGTGTACAAGTCAATCTGAGGTCATGCAAACCAAATGTACAACGATGACGAATAAGAAACCTGCATGACGAATATAGAAAAGGGAAATGAAAGTTGCTGATGCGATTTCATGATAAGTATTAAATTATCCATATAAAAATCGCTCTGTGAGCGGTTCTGAAAAACCTTTACTGGTACTGCCCCGTCGTAAAAGTAAGAAATTAGAACTGGCCCATTGTCCCCCCAAATGCGAACTGATCCACCTAAATCGCGAATGACGGGACCCGAACGCACCAGTAGCACGAGGTCGGGAGGGCACAGGATCACGGATATTATCATAGGGTAACACCAGAAGTAGCAGTAGAATATATTATTTTGATAGGGAAGCCTACCGCTAGTACAGTACATGGCCTATGGTCCGGACCAACGTCCCCATCTGCATCCACAGGTAGGAACCTCGTGCTACTGGTGCGTTCGGGTCCCGTCATTCGCGATTTAGGTGGATCAGTTCGCATTTGGGGGGACAATGGGCCAGTTCTAATTTCTTACTTTTACGACGGGGCAGTACCAGTAAAGGTTTTTCAGAACCGCTCACAGAGCGATTTTTATATGGATAATTTCAGCTCTTTTTCCGTTCCCTCCCCACCCCAACCCCGAAGGTAAACATGATGACCACACGCGCGATGTACTGTATGTAGCCATGCGACTGCAATAACACACTGATACATACCAGCCCTCCCCGCCTCGCTACCCCGCACACAGATACACAAACATGTGTATGCACACGGCACACACACGTGGCCACGCACACATACGCACATGCACACGACACAAACAGGAAATTCTTCATGTATAATGCCATGCAAAGCAGTGGCCACCGTACTTGAGGAAGTCAGTTGTGAAACAAAAATAATTCAACTACAGCGTGTAGACAAGCTGACGGCCAAAGCACAACATAGCAAACATGACATTTGCCCAATGATTGCAGTTTGCAGACCATGCCATGGAAGCAGCGAATACAGAATGTAATATCATACAAAGTGACAAGCAAGGACGTGGCCATCATACACCAGAAACTTGCAGAAAGTCACATATCCAACAGATAGAGAAGTGAACAGCAATCTGATACAGCCCACACAGGACAAAGCGGACCTGATACTCGTCCCAGGATCGCAAGTGGCAAACCCTTTTCAATGCATAACATGCAGGTGTACGTTAGACGCATGAACATCTGACCGTGTCGCCAGCATACAATGTCATCACATGTTTACCCCACAAGTTACACACATGCACAGTAGAAGCACAATGAAAGCAATGGAAAAGTACGATGTGGTTGCTGAAGCATCTTCACACTTCAAATTCAGACTTCAATGTGGTCGTCACGGGATGATATACCTGCAAGATACAAGTGATGAAGAAAGAAAGCAGAAGGTCGTGAGGTAGGCTATGAGACACCACAAACGGTTCACCTACATGTCTGTTCAGGGCTAGTGCACTCACACGGAGAATTGTCATAATCGAGCATTTCCCAAACTGAGAAGTGCAATGAAATCCACTTGCATGCACAGGAGCAATTTTGCAATATTATGATGCGCAATTCGACACGATCTGCGATGCTGCGTGCGATGTGCCCTGCTGTCATGATAGTGACAGTCACCGCAGTATGTTTTGTCAACGTCGCCCGTGCACTCTTCTGTCAAGTCCAAAGTGCTCACATACTTGGCAATGTTTTTGCAGTGATTAACTTTTATCCTAGTGTCACGGGTAACTTTAATGAAGTACCCGCAGGCCGTGTCGATCTGCACATCGTCCACTCTCTCATGTACTTGGCCTGCTTTGTCTGTGTATCCATTTCATGTGCGATCCACAAAATCGACTAGACAGTGGGTGCAATACGCGCTCTACCTGAAGACGTTCTTCTGGCGACATCTCGCCATGTACTTGGCCTGGCTTTGTCTGTGTATCCATTTCATGTTCGATCAACAAAATCTCAATGCACTACAGAGACTAGACAGTGGGTGCAATACGCTCTCTATCTGAAGACGTGAACCATTAAGTTTTTTGGAAAAGTTATACGTACACCTGAAACGTAATGAAGTACAGGAATAGAGAGAGTGACTACAATACGCTCTCGACCTGATATAGTGATAACGTGAGTACAAGACACTCTCCACCTGATAACGTGTTAGAAGGTAACATGTCTACAGTCCCACCGTACCCTTCCGACACGACTGTAGACCATTAAATATTTTTGAGAAGTTATACGTACACCTTAAACGTAATGAAGTACAGGAATAGAGAGAGTGACTACAATACGCTCTCGACCTGATAACGTGAGTACAAGACACTCTCCACCTGATAACGTGTTAGGCTGTGTTTACATGAGAAATTTCAACCCGGGTTGAAAGTCTGTACGATAGACAAAAGAGGTGAGTGTTTACATGAAGACAGTTGACCCGGGTCAAATACTGATATGCCGCCAAAAGTCCACTTCTACAGTCCTGTATGGTCACGTGAATCCGTTCGCGCGAAATTTGCATCTGCAGTGCCGTTCAAACCTGGCGCGAGATACGCACAGAAGTACGTTTGTACGATTTTCTTGACCCGGGTTGATTTCAACCCGGGTCAAGCGCAATGCGTCATGTGAACGCGCCATTCATTTTGTGCACATGGCGGGTTGAAATCTGACCCGGGTTGAAACGCTTCATGTAAACACAGCCTTAGTAGAAGGCCAACAGGTCTACAGTCCCACCGTACCCTTCATCATTCCTCATTCACCATCGCGCGATACCCTGGCACACACTGGCAACATATCAATGGGGTGCCTTACCGTCGTCTAGAGGAGACGTCTTCGCAGCAATATTTTCCCTCCTGCGCATTCAGTCGCCGACGCGACAGCGTTCACGGGGCCGTTCCAGTTGCGGAAGACATTCGATTCATCGGGCCAATTCAGCAACAGGGCCGTGGACACACAGGGGGCAGAGGAGAGACATTGTTAGTGGACAAGAAATATGCAGTGGCAAGTGGCGAGTGCCGCATGGATGTCAAGTTGTCATGCACAATTCAGCTATTACTTACGGTCCAGCCAGTCCTGCCATTGCTCGCTCGTCCTGGTTCCTCCTCGTTCGTCTTCCTGCACGTCTGCACTTCTCCTTCCCCACCGTTGGCTTTGCGGTACGGGGGTGCCGGAAGGATTTCCCACATGTACATGAAGTCCCACCATGTCTCCATGTACATGTCCACGGCCACGTCAGCAGTTTTATAGTACCGGAAGGAGTTCCCACGATGTCTCCAAAGGCCTAGAGCGGACGTCTTTGCAGCAATTCTTTTCGCCCTGCGCATTCAGTTCGCCATGTCTCCAAAGGCAAAGGCCTAGAGCCTAGTAGAGGGGACGTCTTTGCAGCAATTCTTTTCACCCTAGTACCCTGTACATGAAGTCCCACCATGTCTCCATGTACATGTCCACGGCCACGTCAGCAGTTTTATAGTACCGGAAGGAGTTCCCACGATGTCTCCAAAGGCCTAGAGCGGACGTCTTTGCAGCAATTCTTTTCGCCCTGCGCATTCAGTTCGCCATGTCTCCAAAGGCAAAGGCCTAGAGCCTAGTAGAGGGGACGTCTTTGCAGCAATTCTTTTCACCCTAGTACCCTGCACATTCACTCCGCCGACACGACAGCGTTTACGGGGCCGTTCCAGGTGCAAAAGGTCCACGTCAGCAGTTCTCAACTATTTCGCGTACGGGATAGTCGCCGCGACAGCGTTTAAGGGGTCGTTCCAGGTGCAAAAGGTATCCATCAATGGCACTTTGCAGTATGGGGTACGGAAAAGGGGCCTCCTCGTTCGACTTCGTCGACTTCTGCAGTTCTCCTTCCCGTCAGGGGTACCGAAAGGGGCCTCCTCGCAGTTGTCCTTGCCGTCAGGTCCACGTCATGCAATTCTCAACTATTTCGCGTACGGGATAGTCGTCTTTGTCGTACGCGACATCGGCGTTTACCGAGTGGCATTGGCACAAAGCAGACCGTTGACGGGGTCACGTGTCAAAAAAGTATCAACAACGTGTCGACTACGTGTCGACCACGTGTATAGCGGTACACTCAGCGGTACACTAATTCTCGTGCCATTCTCGTGTCACAAAACTGGAACATCGAGTACCAGTATGGAAAGGCTTCAGACAGGAAGCCTTTCCAATTCTGTGCCCAAGGTCCGAGTCTAGAGTCGTACTGCCACAGTATTCCCCACCCAGAGAACGAGTGCGGGAACAATCAAGTGAACGATAAGAAATCAAAATTTACAGGAAAGAAGTACAGTATGGAATACTAGCCGCGGAAAGCGGATGATCCGCAGCGCAGCAAGTCAATCAAGCAAATGCGCAGGCTTAACACGATCAACAGAGACAGTCTGGTCCTTACCATTGATACGCAGAGTGAAGTACTTGGGACTGCGCTTGACCACGGGGAACGGACCATCGTACGGCGGTTGGAGTGGGAGCCGAACTGCGTCACGGCGCAAATACACTTTAGCGGCTGTGTCCAAATCGCGAGGCAGATAGACAGGATTCATGCTAGTACGGACAGGAAGAGGACGGTTCTGCCGCAGGAAGGTAGACAGGCGAGATGCGTAATCACTGCGGTCGCTGGCAGGAGTCAGGGAACTAGACGGGAAGAATTCACCAGGAAGGCGTAGCGTTGTACCGTAAACTAGTTTGGACGGTGAACAGTTGCTATCAGCCTTGGTCGATGTCCGGATGCTGAGCAGAATAAGTGGTAGCGCTTCCAGCCAGTGGGTTAAGTCAGACAGAGTCCGCAGTGATGATTTGACATGCCGATGGAATCGCTCGATTAAACCATTGCACTGGGGATGGTAGGCGGCGGTGCGCTTGCGCTGGCATCCCAGTAGCGCCATCAAACTGTTCCAGAGGGCCGACTCAAATTGAGCACCACGATCCGTGACGAGAGAAGAGGGTACACCAAACCGGGCAATCCAGCCTGACACTAAGGCAGACGCAACAGTGGATGCAGTGGCATCGGGGATTGGAAACGCCTCAGGCCACCGGGTGAATCGATCAATGCACGTCAAGAGATAACGATTGCCGTTGCATGAAGGAAGGGGACCAACGAGATCGATGTGGATGGAATCAAAACGCTGATCCGGCACAGGAAAGCTACCAATAGCAGAGTGGGTATGACGCTGGACTTTAGCGCGCTGGCACGAGTCGCAGGCCTTGGTCCAAGTGGCAATATCCTTCTGCATAGCTGGCCAAACAAAGCGAGCAGAGACTAGCCGTCGGGTTGCACGAACACCAGGATGACTGAGGCTGTGAATAGACAGAAATATATCGTGGCGAAATTTCTGCGGCACAAATGGGCGAGCTACACCGGTGGACACATCACAGACAAGCAGAGAGGGACTGCCGGGCACTGGAAGGCGCTGGAGCTTGAGTGGTGAGTCGGGCTTCGACATGTAGGTAGCCAACTCAGCATCAGTCTCTTGGGCAGTGGCAAGAGCGGTGAAATCAACAGCGTGCGATTGGCTAACGGCATCGACGTCAGGGCGAGATAGAGCATGGGCGACAGTATTCTCCGAGCCTTTCACGTAGCGAATGTCGGTCGTAAACTCAGCAATGTACGACAGCTGACGAAGCTCACGAGGTGAATGACGTGAAGAGGACAGATTAATAGCAAATGTCAGCGGCTTGTGGTCTGTCAGGATATGGAACGAACGGCCCTCCAAGTGATGCTGAAAATGCCGGATTGCGAGGTAGATGCTCAGCAGCTCACGACCAAAGGTGTGATAGCGACACTGTGTGGGGCTCAGCTTCTTGGAGAAGAAAGCGATTGGTTCCCACTGACCAGAGACTTCCTGCTGCAGCACTGCACCAACACAGAAGTCAGATGCGTCCACCATGATGTTGATTGCAGCATCTGGAGCAGGGTGGCAGAGAAGAGTGGCGTTGCAGAGGGCGGTCTTCACAGCTATGAACGCATGCTCGGCAGTGTCGGGCCAGCTGAACGAGGTGTCATGTTTCTTCTTACCACGCAGCAGGTCATCTAGCGCCTTCATGAGGTCGGCACAGTGAGGAATAAACCTTCGGTAAAAGTTCACCATGCCGACAAAGCGGCGCAACTGCTTGACGGAGGAAGGCGGCTTGAAATCACGCACCGCAGTGACTCGTTGTTCCAGAGGGAAGATTCCACTGCTGGTGATACGGTGGCCGAGAAACGTGACGGTTGAGACTGCAAACTGACACTTTGCGGGGTTTATGACCAAACCATTGTCGGCAAGGCGTTGGAGAACTGCTCGACAATGGATTCGGTGGGATTCCATGTCCCTGCTGGCAACGAGAACATCATCCATGTAGCCATTGCCACAATCCAGACCGCGTAGGACATCATCCAAGAACCGTTGGAAGGTTTGAGCAGCATTGCGTAAACCAAATGGCATGCGAACAAACTCAAATAACCCAAATGGGGTAGTCACAGCTGTCTTGGGGATGTCCTCTGGTGCAACAGGTATCTGGTAGAATGCCTTCACCAAGTCCAGCTTCGTGAACACTGTGCATCCTTCCAGCGATGACGTAATGTCGTGGATATGAGGCACTGGGTATCTGTCCGGAACAGTAGCCTTGTTTAAAGCACGGTAGTCCCCGCATGGTCTCCAATCTAGGTACTAGGTATGTGTGAAGTACTACATGTAGTAGTACTAGTAGTACGAAGTAGTTCGTACAATGCATGTCAGAAATGGTATCAAAGCATTCGTACTCGGACTCAAGTGCTAGAATCGGAGCCCTCCGCGCTAGCGCGCGTCGGGCTCCGATTCCGCACTTTCGTCCTCGTACTCATGCTCGATTCCATACATCGCGTGGGTCGATGTGACCAACCGCTTCATTCAGCACAAGCCACTTTTCAGCGCAAGCTGAAAACGCCTTGTTTGGTGTGGCCGCGGCCTTATCTCTCCTCGAAACGTTGATGCATGGATGAGTACAGTTCAAACATCCCCTATCTCTAACCCAGCTCCCCTTCTGACCCCAGACACTTGATCACATAGCTCGCAGCAGACAGCAGACGGGATTAATAAGAGAAGAAGAAGAGAGATGTTTATTTAAAAAATTAACACTTCATGCGAAGAGAGTCGGACATAAAAGACATTATACCAAAAATGCCTTTCCTCGAAAGAAAGCGTCAAAAGGGGGCCAGTAATTGGATTATAGTGACTTACAGGGCAGGGGACTAGGGACGTTGGATAAGCTACTATCACTTGTGCTAGAGTTGGGTCATCACCCTCAAAAACATTTTGTACACTGGCTCTGCTAAAACTAACGAAACAGAAATGAAAAGAAAACATTGTTCTGAGTTTATGCTACGGAAAATATTCCCTTGCTGCAGTGTATTAGTGTATAGTACTATAACTGTGCAAGCCCAGACGCAGAGATCGGTGTTCTTATGGTCGTTTAGTGGGATTTGGCCTTGTGTGTGTTGTGTGTGTGTGTGTGTGTGTGTGTGTGTGTGTGTGTGTGTGTGTGTGTGTGTGTGTGTGTGTGTGTGTGTGTGTGTGTGTGTGTGTGTGTGAATGGATGTGTGTGTGTGTGTGTGTGTGTGTGTGTGTGTGTGTGTGTGTGTGTGTGTGTGTGCATGTGCGTGTGTGTGTGTGTGTGTGTGTGTGTGTGTGTGTGTGTGTGCGCGTGTGCATGTGTGCGCATGCGCATGGAGAGATGTGTGTATGGATATTCATACGAGTATGCGTGGCAGTGAGTGTATGTCGTTTGCATGTAGACAAGACGGTGGAGAGCATGCAGTAATATGTAGATATGTAGACAAGACGGTGGAGAGCATGCAGTAATATGTAGACTATAAAATTTAAAGACAATACCAGGTGGAAATTATTCAAACTACGGCCGTTTAGATAAGGGAAGAAAACATTCAACGGACAAAAGGAAGTATCTTATGACTTGATGATTTGATTGCTTGGACTTGTGCCGTAGCATGGGAAGGTAGATTGCGAAATTAGTTTAGATCTAGACTTAGAGAAGATGAATAATTATTTTGATTTTCGACCGGAATAGTAGTTAGAATCCAGCAGGGGGTTCGGAGAGAGAGAGAGAGAGAGAGAGAGAGAGAGAGAGAGAGAGAAAGAGGGAGAGAGAGAGAGAGAGAAAGAGAGAGAGCGAGAGAAAGAGAGAGAGAGTGGCACCATTAGTATTCCGACCTGAAGTTATTTCTTGACTCGGGACTCTGCACGGCGGCGCTGCGACTCCACCTCACTCGTTTGGCAAAGCGCAGCCCTGGAGAGTTTCTCAGCCGGTGCGGCAATGCCACCGAACCCGACATAGATGTAATCATCAGCATTGGAGGCATCACTCCCAGCCATGGCCGGTGCTGCCTGCGAGGCTGAAAGCTGCTGGTTTTCCTGATTCGACGCTCTCCGAGCTTCTTTGCCTCTGGTCGATAGAGCTTGGGACGGCAGGTGCGTATCTGCCACGCTGTATATCCCCTCATCGTCTTCAACGCATTGGTCGGTGCTGCTGCAGCCTTCCACGTGTGTCGGCTGAGAAGAGAGCTTATGCGATGCGACATGCCGTGTAGGATCACCAATGGTTGATCCTGGTAGCAGGTTTGCGAAAGAGGACTTGGTGACGGTCTGGGTTCGGCCACGGTTCACTTCCGATTTGCTATTCTTACGGAGAGCAGCCGTTGATGCGTTGTGCCACCCTCCAGACAGCTGCTCGAAGCCGACGTAGTTGTAATCGGATTCCTCGGCGTTCTCGCCAATCGATTGCTCAGTGTTTGGGGTAAGGCCAGACTGCGGGTGAGTGTTTGATGTGGCTAGTTGCTGCTGCTGCGCTCTCGCTGTCTTTTTGCACTCTTTACTGGAGCTTCTCCCAGTTCTGCGCATTCCACTGTTGTTCAAGATCACTTCAGCATCCATGTAGAGATCCTCATCTGCATCCGCAAAGCCACTGACTAGATCCACTGCACTGATTTCTGATTGGCCCTCGGCATGACGAATACCATCAGTGGTTGCGACGTGGCTGCTGCCATTCAATGTGGAAGAGGACTTGGTGACGGTCTGGGTTCGGCCACGGTTCACCTCTGATTTGCTATTCTTACGGAGAGCAGCCGTTGATGCGTTGTGCCTCACTCCAGACAGCTGGCCGAAGCCGACATAGTTGTAATCGGATTCCTCGGCGTTCTCGCCAATCGATTGCTCAGTGTGTGGGGTATGGCCAGACTGCGGGTGAGTGTTTGATGTGGCTAATTGCTGCTGCTGCGCTCTCGCTGCCTTGTTGCACTCTTTACTGGAGCTTCTCCCAGTTCTGCGCATTCCACTATTGTTCAAGATCACTTCAGCATCCATGTAGAGATCCTCATCTGCATCCGCAAAGCCACTGACTAGATCCACTGCACTGATTTCTGATTGGCCCTCGGCATGACGTATACCATCAGTGGTTGCGACGTGACTGCTGCCATCCATTGTGGAAGAGGACTTGGTGACGGTCTGGGTTCGGCCACGGTTCACTTCCGATTTGCTATTCTTACGGAGAGCAGCCGTTGATGCGTTGTGCCTCACTCCTGACAGCTGGCCGAAGCCGACATAGTTGTAATCGGATTCCTCGGCGTTCTCACCAATCGATTGCTCAGTGTTTGGGGTGTGGCCAGACTGCGGGTGAGTGTTTGATGTGGCTGGTTGCTGCTGTGCTCTCGCTGTCTTGTTGCATTCTCTGCTGGATTTGCTCACTGTTCGGCGTATTCCGCTATCGTTCAAAGTCAATTCGCTGTCCATGTATAGATCTTCATCCTCATTAGCAAAGCCACTGACTAGATCCACTACGCTGATTTCTGACTGAGGTCCACGTTTAGACATGCCGTCAGCAGATCCGACGTAGGTGTTTGTGCTCTGCTGTGCTCTCGCTGTCTTGTTGCATTCTCTGCTGGATCTGCTCACTGCTCTGCGTGCTCCACCGTCGCCCAGGGTCAATTCACCATCCATATACAATTCCTCATCGTCAAAGCCGCTGACCATGTCCACTGCGCTGATGTCTGACTGGTGCGCGCCCTTAGCCATGGAATCAGCGGTTCCAGCATATGTGTTCGCACTCTGCTGCATTGATGTGTGTCCGCCTGCATTGGCAAGCTCCTGATGGAGTACCCGCGTTGAAGATTGTGGCATATCCTGGCAGTTGGGTTTATCACATGGCTTGCAATACCCAGAGGAAGTCAGAGGTTGGTTCACATCCACGAGACACTCGCTGCGTGTGCTCGGGATTGGCACCATGACAGCAGATTGACCCGCTGGCTTGCGAATGCGTGGTGCGGGGCGTGGTGCTGCCGGCAGTTTAGAATACCCGCTCACCATATCAGCCTGGTGTGTGGCATGTGAGCTGGCACTAGCAACAGTCGCCGCAGCTGACGTGCTTGCCTTGCTCGGGAGATGAGAGTAGTTGCTCGTCTTCTTGCTAGCGCTGTCCAGTGTGAGGTAGGAGCTATCTTCGGACTCTGACAGAAGCTGGTCTCCAGCCTTGGGCGAGGCGAACGGCGAAGGGTCGAACGAAACAGAGTCGTAGAGTCCCTGTCCACTGGCCATGTCTTGCGTGAGCCTGCTTTCTCCTAGCGCCAAACCAGTAAGATTACTGGGATTGGATGGTGTACTGTCATGGCCGCCAGACTCGTTGGAATCCTGCCAGCCAACGTTGCCCCTCGGAATGGCTCGATAGTGTTCATCGTCCGGCGAAGCAGTCCACACTCTCAGTTTGCTGTACTGGTCGGCAACATTGGTGTGTGACGAGCCCAGAATTGCGCACAGCCCTGGCACGCCATCATCAGGGCTGGTTTCGGCTCTCGCTCTGGCCTCCCTAGTCGCTGCCGTGTCATCACCTTGGTCCCCTAGGTCCCAGGCACTTCCGTCCACCGCGCTGTCAATTGTATCGTTGTTCTGCTCGTTTGCCTCCTGGCCGTGGCTGGGTGAACGGGGCGATTGGCGCGACCACAGCTTCTTTGCCAGGCTACTCAGCGAGGATGTGCGTTGACTGCCACCCGACACTGCATTGATGGCCGTAAGAGAGTCTCCGTCGGCAGTCAGACTGCGATTGCACCGTGCATTGCCGTCGTTTTGGCCTGCGAATGTCGTGGGCTCGTTATTGTCCTTGTCCACACAGTCCACTGCCAGGTTCTGCCATGCCATACTGCTGGCATACTCAACTTGCTGCAAGTCCTGATCGTCTTCCATTAAGTCTTCAGACTGGCGCGCAGCTTCCGCCGATGATGACCCGCTGGCATGTCGGGCGGCTTGAAAGCTGTTGGCATAGGCGGTGGAGTGGAGCAGGTCCGGATGAGCGGATTCTCCCTGAGCGTAGTGGAAATATTTACCTTCTCGGCCGTTTGCGTCGTTTATCATGCGACCGCCGCGATCTGCAAAGTGCTCATTGTTGGTGACTAGGTCAAAGTTGAGCATCTCGCCGGCCGCACCACCTAGAGCGTACACGCGCTCTTGGTGCGTGTTCGTGTTCACATCCGTACGTCCAGTTGCGTACGCGTTGGCATTGGCAGTGGCAGTTCTTGCCCGCCTGCTGCTGCTGCTGCAGCTGCTGTGCTTCCTAGGAAATGCCTCACTGGCGGTAGTGGTGGAGTAGATAGCGTCGCAGTTCTCGTCGACACCACCGGTGTTGTCGCTACTGCTGCTGGCGGATCTGTCTGTGCTGGTGCTGCCCTTCACCATGGACAGGCGTGGTGGATTCAGAGAACCCATGCCTGGGTCGGTGTTCGCCGCCACTGTGTACACATCCTCTCCTGTCTGCAGAGTGTTCAGGGTGGACGAGCTGCCACAGTGAGCAACCGAGGATGGGAAGAACCTGACGCCGCCGCAGTCCTCGGCCTCATAGAATGGATGCGACGAGTCGACGCTGTGCATTCGATTCTTCTTGTACGCCACCGCGTATGCAGTGTTGTCCTGAGCTAGTGACTGATTCCAGGCATCGACTTCGCCACTGTTTGGATGGCTGAGGTTCTCCTCGATGAACGAACCCCGGTGGCTTTCTCGTCCGCTGTATAGGAGCGACGAGTCATCGGTCACCGTCTGACTGCGCAGGGTTTGCGGTGGCTTGACGTTACGCAGCCTGTGCAAACAGAAAGAACACCACCGCCACCACACACATGATGGCAAGACAACCACAGCAACAACCACAATGGCAACGACAACAGCAACCGCAGCAGCAGCAGTGGAAGCAGCAACAATAATAACAACAACATTTAATATTCAGTCAAATAGAATGTAGTAATGTAGAAGTTGCGACTCCGGTGGTATTAGCAAGAGTACATGAAAACCAGAGTGTGCAGCTCGGATGGGTTGCTGTCACGGCGAAATTCCGTGATTACATCATTTTAGTGATGTAGTGCGTACAAGCAGGATTCAAGCAGGTCTCTTTCTGCACAACTGCAGCTCAGTTGTACGCACTACGCCATTTCCCGCCTCAGATCTGCACCAAAATGATGTAATCACGGAATTTCGCCGTGGCAGACACCCATAGCAGAGAAGGCCCCAAGCTGCACACTCTGGTTTTCATGTACTCTTGGTATTAGTGATGAGGTTGATTGTTCCAACAAGGAACAAGCCCTTCCTGCCGAACGTGATATGTGACTGACTCACGACTGCCATTCGCAGCACACAACGAGCACGCCACACCTGCCACTCGGCAAACCTGTAAGGACGCACCACGCCCTGCTCAATACACGGTTGATTGTTAGGCCTGGAGAGCAGTATGTTAGGGGTACTTTTCAGGCACAATCTTCCTCAGCCTACTCAAGCTCAAGGGATGAGAGGTGAATTCCGGGAAACAACTGTATATTGAGCGGGAAGTGGTGCTTCCTTGCAGGTTTGCCGAGTGCAAGGTGTGATATACTCATTGTGTGCTGTGAGTGGCAGTCGTGAGTCAGTCACTTGTCACGTTCGGCAGGAAGCTCGTCTTCCTGGTTGGAACGATCAACTGTATCACGTATAATGTCACATTATCGTACGAAAATATCATGTAGCAATGCACAGATAACTAGCATTTTTCTCACGCACTCCATATTGCGCTACACATTACATGATACAGTAAGACATGTTATTATAATAAGTCGCAAATTCAACGAATGTCCAAAATCCATTGGTTGACGAGAACATACGATAACGATCTTGCAGTCTTCAGCCATATCCACACATGGTGAGATGTATTCGTCATAGTAAGTTCTGTTAAGGCAGTGAGGCCTCAACAGAACTTATTATAGTGAATACATCTCATCTGATGTCTTACTGTAATTGCTACACTGGGCGTGCCACATTCATGGCCGTAAAGTCTTGTACAAAAGCCGCGGCTTCTATGACTTTCTTGCAGGCTTCTATACAAGACAGGTATTTCTATGTATGTCAACAATAAAGCCAGGCTTATGTGTGATTTGATGGACCCAAAACTGCGGCTTTTATTCAAGTGCGGCTTTTATACAAGACTTTACTGTAGCTAGCAGCACTCTCAGGACAGGGTAAGTATCGATTTTTGTCTGATGATCGATTCAGCTCGTGAAACTCGGAGCAGTGTCCGTGTACTCAATCACATATCAGGGGTGTCAAAAGGTACTTCAGTGTGGTACGGTCAGCCATTGGAAGTAAAATTCACTGTGGGGGAGGGGTTGCTGAGCTGACATTTTCTGGAAATCTAGAGCCTAGATCAGTGTACTTTATTGATGTATGGGGTACCTGGGGCAAAAAGTGGTACGGTCAATACCGTAGTGACCGTACCATGTCCGACGCCCTTGCATATTCTTTTTGGATAATTCACGAGCCACGCTCACCCGCACCCCTGTTTAGCTCGCTGCAATTCCAAGCATTCTAAACCCGCCATGTGATGCAAACCTACTAGTAATCCCTGACAATTGCTGACTGCATGGCAGTAAAGTACTGATGTTAGGGCAAAAAGGTACTCATTTCACCGCAATAAAGTACTGATGTCATGGCAATAACGTACTGATGTTGTTGCAGTAAAGTACTGACTTTTTCATGGCAGTAAAGTATTGATTTCATGGAAATAAAGCACTGATTTCATGGCCCAAAAATACTGATTTCATGGCAATAAAGTACTGATGTTATGGCAATAAAGTACCTCCTTATGATTTGTGAATATGTTGTAGTGTGGCTGCATGACAACACTGACTCGCGGCGCCCTTTTTCGTTTGTGCTTTGCCCGATTGGGCACCCACTGTAAAGAGCACGACACAACACTTTTCCATACATGTCCGACTCACTTTGCACACTATTTTTCCTATAATCACACAACTCCCGAGAACAGGGACAGATCAATAAAGAGCACCTTCTAACCAACAAGAGAAATTAGGAGCTTGTGTCTGTGACGAGGGTTGTGCCACGGGGCACTAGGACGTCACGAAAACATGTAGAAAAATTAATAATAGTTTAAAAAAAATTAAAAAAATTCTTCGGTATCTGAGCAACAAGAATACTTACGACTGAGGAAACAGTATGGAACGGTTGCGGCGGAACACCAGAATAATGGCAATGGCAAGTGCAAACAGAAGACAGCCGGCAAACACCGCTATCAGCCACAGGTAATTGCTGTGTCCCTTGCTGGGGCTGGCACCGGTGGGGTCTGTCACAGATAATCACACAGCAAACGTGCATGCAGAAGATTAAACGTAGAGCAATTGCCGGGCAGCCAGTGGCGGCCACATCAGTTTGCCATGTGAATAAAGTTGTGCAGAAAGTGATCATGGCATGTGGAGTCCTTGTGGACAGTGGAACCAACATGGCCACCGACGTCATGTGACCCATAGAAACCACTCTATGCACACGCACACACACCAAAATAGTCTATACACGGTGAAAAGGGGAACCCCTGGTTTGAGTACAAGCCTGACGCGAATAGAATCCTAACCATCGACGTCGGCTGATGTGAATAGAATCCAAACTCCCGACATCGGCTTCTACAGGAAGAAGTCTGGGTTTAATACACGACATTACGGTATGCCAACACCCATTAAGTTACCGTGTTCACGCTCTTAGGGCCCTCTGCAGACTACGTACAGAGAACATCCAGTACAAAAATCACATAAAACCTAAAAGGCAACATTTTTCCACGCCTGCATTCAGACTACACATTTTACATGCAATATACAGGCAACCTTTGACCGTACACAATTGCACAAGGGGCCTGGGATGTGTGACAGCAGCCGTACAAAGTTTGTACATTTGTACGATGGTTGGTGAAAGTACAATAAATGCAGGAAAGTTGCCATGTACAAGGGTTCGCACCCTGCCCGAAAGGATTTGGCAGCTTTTTAGGCTTCCCGCCAGATTCTTGTTGTTGTCTTAGAAACTTTTATGTAAATGTGACTTAGGCCGCAACCACACTACGTAAAAATCACAGTACAAATTTTCATGCATATCTCAGTACAAGTCAGTACACAACCACACTACACTTTTTGGTCTGCATAGATGACGTTTTCACGCGACCAGCACGTGACGTTGTCGTACCAAAGCGTGTGCCATGCGCTGGAAAAGACCGGGAAATTCAAAAACAATGCTGATGCTGATGCTATGTACGATGACCCGGTACAAAGGCAAAGTTGTACACAGCAGAAGGAGCTCGAAAACGACGAAAACGACAAACGTGGCTTTCTACAGGGGTGCGCCGGTTGCTGAAAACCTACAAAGCGCATTTTGCATTTCGCACGCGTCGGCATGACGATTTCTACTGTAATGCCGTTTGTACGTGATTTTGTACCCAGTGTGGTTGCAGCCTTATAGGCTGTTTTGTACCTAATCTGAAGAGGGCCTAAAAGCTCATGGGCCTCTATTGGTAAAATTGTTGTTATCGACACTTTGAATTCGCTGTTACATCCATGCGCTTTCTTTGCCCCAAAACACTGTTGTCTTCTTCTGATCTGTCTTCCTGGTGAAAGTAAAGTGGCACAGTGATACTGGTGGTACCGGAAATGTGAATTCTGTTCAATTACAAGCCCATGCAGAAGATAGGCCCGTGCGCTTATATGCGCGCGAATACGGTAAGTTGCCAAGAAACCCCGGCGTGGCTACAGTCCCGGACAAGACGGTACTCCAGAGCAGCCTATAATGTGTAAAATACGTTATATGGCATTTTTTAGAAAAGAGAAAGGACCAAGGAACCACAAGTTACGTTAAAATGTCCACTGACATCATGTGGTCATTTTTCTTTTCTATATTCAAATTTATCCTTGGATCTCCATCCGAGTCCATTCTTGCACACCTGATGGCATTGTTTCATTGTACTTCACTCAACTCGTCCATTGACCAATTGGCCCACAACGTGCAAGAGAGAGAGAGAGAGAGATAGATAGATAGATAGAGAGAGAGAGAGAGATAGATAGATAGATAGAGAGAGAGAGAGAGAGAGAGAGAGAGAGAGAGAGAGAGAGAGAGAGAGAGAGAGAAAGCGGTGATAACTTAGCCAACCATTGCATTGACTCGATCAGCATGAAGACAATGCATTACAACTATCACTAGCACTCACCGCCTTTGTTGAACAGAAGGAAGCTGGCTCTTGTCGTGCTGTTAGGCAGACCAGTCGTCGGCAAGCTGTCGTTGTATCTCCTGTCAATGGAACCTGTCCTGTGGTCAGATCCAAGGTTGGTTCCATTCTCCTGGGATGTAGTGGGTGGAGAATTTGCTTGCGTGATGGATGGCTCAATCCGGCGCTGCATTGTTGAATCGCTTGGGTTGGGAGTTTGGGTGTCGTTCGATGTGGCGGCTGGAGTACTGTTTGGAATCGTTTGCGGTGTGGTGGCTGGAGTAGTTGTTGCTGGGGTGGTTTGAGTGCTTGGAGCTTCGGTTGTCGCTGGGGTGGTTGTTGCTGGGGTGGTTGTTGCTGGGGTGGTTGTTGATGGGGCGGTGGTTGCTGGGGTGGTGGTTGCTGGGGTGGTGGTTGCTGGGTTGGTTGTTGCTGGGGTGGTGGTTGCTGGGGTGGTTGTTGCTGGGGTGGTGGTTGCTGGGGTGGTGGTTGCTGGGGTGGTGGTTGCTGGGGTGGTGGTTGCTAGGGTGGTGGTTGCTGGGATGGTTGTTACCGGGGTGGTTGTTGCTGGGGTGGTGGTTGCTGGGGTGGTGGTTGCTGGGGTGGTGGTTGCTGGGGTGGTTGTTGCTGGGGTGGTTGTTGCTGGGGTGGTTGTTGCTGGGGTGGTTGTTGCTGGGGTGGTGGTTGCTGGGGTGGTGGTTGCTGGGGTGGTGGTTGGAGTAGTTGTTGGTGTGGTGGTTGGGGTGGTTGTTGCTGGGGTGGTTGTTGCTGGGGTGGTTGTTGGTGTGGTGGTTGGAGTAGTCGTTGGTGGGGTGGTGGGAGTAGTTGTTGGAGGAACCACTACATGAAAATGCAGAAAATTAAAACAAATTAAACACGAGCGTTAGTAGGAAACACAAGAAAAAAACCAGATTGCACCTAGAGGTTGTGCCAATGATTTCTCAGCGCATTTTCTAATGGGCGTTAACCCTTTAAGAGCCACAAGAAAATTTCAAAATCCTGCATTTTTTCGTGTTCCTTGGATCACAGCTTCAGTTCTACTCACTCAATCCTCACAATCTAGAGCTTTCTGGAACGGTCTCCGAGAGAGGAAGAGAATGAGGTCGATCATGATAGCCAGCACACCGTCTATCCAGTGCTAGATCGCTGCAACTGTACGTCGTTTACGACGCATTCAAGTATGGGGCTGCTCTTAAAGGGTTAAGTACACAGTGTGATTCAGCGGATTTTGGAATAGGCGCTAAGTATGCGGCGTGAGTCGCTAGTGCACTTGCAGCTTCGCGCCGCGAGATCGCGGCTTTGCCGCAGCATCTGAGCTTTAAGGCCACCTCACACAATCATGACCCAATCTGACAACAAGGTACACACTAATGAATGGTAATAAACGACCCAGAAGAAAGTTGCCCATCTTCGCTGTTTTAGCTATTTTTCTTTGTCCTATTTCATCATCTGTCTACTGTACTAAATCCATTGTCATGGTTCCGTGTCTGTTTCCTGTTTTCACTTGATAAGAAGTATTGACAGAACACTGTACTCGTGCGATTAGTGCCGCTCGTGTACTATTTTGTCAATGTCCATCACAGATGAGGCACTATTGAAGAGAGGGCATAACGCTGGTTTATTTATGTCATCCCTCATAAAACAACGAAGGCAAAGAAAAACAGAGCCTAAAGTTTACAGTAAACTATCACGATTCAACAGAAAGGGCAACAAGAACTGCGATTTTGATCCTAAGACCACCAGTTCAATGACTTGGACAAGAACATTAGCAAAAGAACACGAAACTTGCACATGCGCTTGGTTACAAACCGGGGGGGGGGGGACAATTCAAGAGTCGGCTTTATTAGTTCACTCGCTCCTAGACACTGGGGCTCTATTCGAGATAAAGGGCACGTTTCAAGAGAGGGCTCTAATCCACCGTCCATGGCCCTTCATTTGTATCTGTGTGTGTGTGTGTGTGTGTGTGTGTGTGTGTGTGTGTGTGTGTGTGTGTGTGTATGTGTGTATGTGTGTGTGTGAATATCTAAAAATTGGTAGGACCACGTACTGTACTTGCCTTTTTTCAGTAAATATGAACACACAGTTGTACTTACCGGCATCGCAGAAAGGTACGGAAGTGAGCGTTCCATCTGCTTGGCAAGTTGCCGTCGACTTCCCCACTAGCGGGTGGCCGCTGTTGCAGGAATAACTAACATCTTGCGTAACTCGGACCGACTTCTTGTCGGCTTTTCCATCAGCAATAGCCGGTACATCGCAGTACAAACCTGTACGCAAAAAAAGGAAAATATGATTTGTTTAAAAAAAAAGATATAGATCTTTGATAAATACCCACACTCCTTAGTGACCACACCATTACCACCCTCGCACAGAATTTGAACTCAAATTCAAGAGCGTCCGTGTTATCTCTCTCTCTTTTTGGCGTATCATCCCTCAAACCGTTGCAAAGCTTGTTCTAGCTGCTTTCCAACTAGCCCTCACTCAAAGGACAATGGAGTTACGACAATCTGCGCTTCACAAGCTGAAATTTGAAAATGTATAATACTCGTCTTTAGAAATGCAGCTATACATTGAAAAACGGATTTACTCGTCTTTTGATCATCTAAGCCGCTGTCCTTACCTTTAACACAGATGATGACCAGCGGATTGCTATAATATTGGTTACCAACTCCTTGAATCCAAACATTATTTACATGCGATATGGCCAGTATGCGCAGGAATGAACCAAGACATTCGTCTGACCTCGACTTTGGAAGGGACATCTGTGTGTCTTCACATCGTTTCTTGGCATCATCACGGTATTTAGATCTTGCATTCACGACATGGTAAAAGTCATAATTACGACACCTGTGCACCATTGCTCGTCCTGTATGAATACAGAAGTGAAGCCAGGTATACACACATACATACTGTCAGAAAAAGTCAGAGCATTAGAACACTTGCCCTGCATCTATACAACACTTAAACCTGTGATCACTCTGCGCAGGGCCCTCGGGTTTTTTTATATCTATGTTTCGCGTCGTTCGGGCGCACATGTTTCCAGATCAGGCCAGGATCGATACCCTGATTTTGCGCAGGGCGTAATATTGTGGAAACGGGACATCTTCTCAATCCAACAAAGAAACAAACTCGTCCTGAGCTGCTAAAATTTTACCTTGCCAAGGCAGAAAGCACAGTGCTGTATGATTGTGAATTGGACCCCATACAAACATGTTTTCAACCAAAATGGGGCTGGGTTGGGGGCAGCGAACATCGCTTCAGCCCCACCGGCACTATGACAGCCGATGCAGTTAAGAAAACATCTGGCCTATCAAAATAATTATAAACTCATCTATGGCTCCTTAAATCAGAAATCAGAGAAATCAGAAATCAGTATCAGCAGCTACTACACCTAGCTGATGATGCTCACAAGACAGAAGCGGAAAAAACACTGAATTTCTTTATTTAGGCGAGGCCAAAAAAAATATTAGTGATTCCGGGGCCTCCCGCACCAAAATGGAGCCAAGGCAAATTTGTTTTGAACAGTTCATAATACATGTACAGTACTAATTGTGTGAGTAGATCTGTGACGTGGAGTCACACAAACCCGAGCTTGTACGACTCCCTGATGTACAGATCAGAACCATCGTTGGCCGAAATACAGAAAAATTGAACGGGTAAACCGCGTGCCTGTTTTTTTTGTGAAATTTGAACAAAAAAATTAAAATTACTTGAAAATACCGTAAACAAAAAGCTCGGCATGGCATGCGCATACACACAGCCATAGGAGAAAAAAAAATTAAAAATTCCCCCGCCCGCACCAATTTCACATGGGTCCTGCCCGGGAATCTCGATTTTATTTTGGTCTCGCCTTAGTGCTCTACTACGCGAAATGTGCTATTATTATTATTATTATTAATGCGATTAATAGTATAAGTGAAGCGGACATTACAAAATGATGAATGAGAATACATGTATCTAAAATGGTTGTTCCTAATCGATTTTCTTGAGACTATCATCAGGGAAAATCGTCTCACAATAGAGGCTATACGCTTCACTTATACTATTAATCGCATTAATAAAGTTATTGTCTCCTCGTCGCCTTTTCATTATTATTTCTCCTTTATTCACTTCTTTCGAAGGCGATAAGCCAGACCCACCGGGAAATATTTCCATGGGTGGGACAGCAAAAAGAAAGTGAAAAAACAAAACCAAAAATAAATAAATAAATAAAACCTAAAAACCAAAGGGACAAGAACTAGTTGAAGGAAGAGGAAGAAAGGAAAGAAACTCAATCCGAACTCCAACATCAAAACAATAATAAAGAATTTGCAGCGATAGGCAAAATACATCAACCAATGAAGGGAGTAGTAACAAAGGAAATATCAGTCCTTATCAGTCGTTATTCAAGTCTCTTAGCTATTGAACATGCAAACGCAGCAGAGGTGCATCTACATGTTAAGGATAGTTCTCAGTATTTTAATCGAACCTTGTATAGCCTCCTGTTGCACAATAGCCAGGTCTCCTCCCTGCACAGTCCGAAGGCATTGAGGAGTCTCCCCCACCAAGCCTCCCAGGGCACCGACAACCACAGGGACCACGTCAACCTGGTTGAGGGACCAAATCCTCGAAATCTCCCGCTTCAAATCATAATATTTCGAGCGCTTTTCAGCCATTTTCTTATTATTATTATTATTATTATTATTATTATTATTATTATTATGGCTCCTTAAACTCTTTAGCAGGACGCTACCTGAACGCGCCGCACTGGAACACCTCTTAAAGTCGCATTTTCCCATGAAAGTACTAGCTGTTCAAGGATCGATATCTTTACTTTCCCTTGGACGAATTCCACCATCTTGAGCCTCCTGGAAAAGTCTTGAGATGAGAAGAAAATGATGTCAAACCCAGCTTGGAGAGAAACCAAAACCCCGTACTACAGTCTGGCAAATTTCACGCACTCGACAGACTTGAGCCTGGTCAGGATATAAAGAGCTCAAATCTTCAGCTGCTTTTTCCTTGCTTAGACAAATTGCATGATAGTGAATGAAAAACGTAAAATGTTTGCCACCTATGTAATCAGGGAATGGCCCACGCCTGGTAAAAAAATCAATGAGGAGCTAAACACATTTCCTTGCTCGTATCGAGTTTTGCGAGGACTCCCATTACAATCCATAACGACAAGAGTCCATAAACAAGAGCATGCAACTGTCATCTCTTTTCTATGGGCCAGATGCGCGGCGCGCTGCCTTCATTACATCATTCAGCTGCAGTCCGCGCACTGCGTAAAATCAAACACCGCGCTTTCCCTCTGGTTTGAAATGGAACTGGAGTTCACGCGCCAAAATTCAGAGATTGCGTAGGTACTGGAATGAATGGAGCAAAAACAAATGGGCTCGTACTAGAAATTGTGGGTTTCCGTGCATGCTTTCAGAGCGTGAAGGAGGCGAGTTACGTAATGAAAGCAGCACGCCGCGCACTGGCCTATAACCACAGTTGCATACTCTTGTTTATGCAGTCTTGATAACGATCATTTGAATCTGGTTTCAATGGCAGTGGGTCACGCAAAATGACCCAAAATGATGGCGCACAACAACTGCCAAGCCTCTTATACGGGCAAAATAAACACAATTACGAGTGCAACCTCAACAGCACCGGAAGAAAAACGAGCAAAAAATGGCTGTGAAGACAGCCGAGAGAGCAAAAAATTAATGGCTGTGAAAACAGTTGAGAGAGCAAAAAAAAGGCTGAGAGCAAAAATGGCTGTGAAAACAGTCTAGTACGGAGCCTCGGGAGGGAGGTTTAACCGATGCTGCTCATGGCAACCGCAAATCGGGCCAAGTCATTTGCATCTGAGGGCACGCGGTGCCGATGGCCTCGCAGACTGGCAACAGCCGCACGGATGAGGGCAAAGCTGAGCTTACATCGGATGTAGGACATTGTGGCAGCGTACGGCTCCTGCTTCTTGTCGGCGAGCATCGATGCCAGCCGAGCATAGAGTGCTGTCGCAGCTTTGCCATACCCTCCAGTGCAGGACAAGACAACTGGTGAGAAGGAGGCGTGCTCGACGTTGGTGATCCGTTCCTCGTAGCGGCGACGCTTCTCCTGCTCATGTCGCTTGTACACAGCGGGCAAGGCAAACTTGGCGTTGGTGGGGGCGTGGGGGTTGAAAACCCGGACATCAAAGTACGAACGCTCGTACCGTCCTCCCCAGACTCCACTGGCACCGATGTCTAGGCGGGCGTTCTCTTCAGTTGAAGCTGACCGTAGCGTCATCCTCTCACCTGTCAGCGGCTCTAGCAGCGGTTCCACCACAACTCCGTGCGCAACTTCCTTCAAATTGAAAATACACGTTCTGCAGACTGCGCACAAAAATCGAATTGAAATTTGGCGTGTCGAGTCGCATAAGTCATCAACCGGTTGTCGTATCGCTTATTATTATTTATACCCAGCTCATATTAACCCCCACTAATTCCTGTGATCTATAACTGGTGAATATATCTCCATATTCACTCACCACTTTAAGTTGGGGTATATACTTCGCTATATTAGAGAGGTTCTGCAAAACGAAAATGTGTACGAACTTTCGCTCTACGTCACAAAGTGAGAAACTTCGCACGAACTTTCCCTCTACGTCACAAAGTGAGAAACTTCGCACGAACTTTCACAACTTTGGACGCGAAACTTGCCAAGGCAGAAAGCACAGTGCTGTATGATTGTGAATTGGACCCCATACAAACATGTTTTCAACCAAAATGGGGCTGGGTTGGGGGCAGCGAACATCGCTTCAGCCCCACCGGCACTATGACAGCCGATGCAGTTAAGAAAACATCTGGCCTATCAAAATAATTATAAACTCATCTATGGCTCCTTAAATCAGAAATCAGAGAAATCAGAAATCAGTATCAGCAGCTACTACACCTAGCTGATGATGCTCACAAGACAGAAGCGGAAAAAACACTGAATTTCTTTATTTAGGCGAGGCCAAAAAAAATATTAGTGATTCCGGGGCCTCCCGCACCAAAATGGAGCCAAGGCAAATTTGTTTTGAACAGTTCATAATACATGTACAGTACTAATTGTGTGAGTAGATCTGTGACGTGGAGTCACACAAACCCGAGCTTGTACGACTCCCTGATGTACAGATCAGAACCATCGTTGGCCGAAATACAGAAAAATTGAACGGGTAAACCGCGTGCCTGTTTTTTTTGTGAAATTTGAACAAAAAAATTAAAATTACTTGAAAATACCGTAAACAAAAAGCTCGGCATGGCATGCGCATACACACAGCCATAGGAGAAAAAAAAATTAAAAATTCCCCCGCCCGCACCAATTTCACATGGGTCCTGCCCGGGAATCTCGATTTTATTTTGGTCTCGCCTTAGTGCTCTACTACGCGAAATGTGCTATTATTATTATTATTAATGCGATTAATAGTATAAGTGAAGCGGACATTACAAAATGATGAATGAGAATACATGTATCTAAAATGGTTGTTCCTAATCGATTTTCTTGAGACTATCATCAGGGAAAATCGTCTCACAATAGAGGCTATACGCTTCACTTATACTATTAATCGCATTAATAAAGTTATTGTCTCCTCGTCGCCTTTTCATTATTATTTCTCCTTTATTCACTTCTTTCGAAGGCGATAAGCCAGACCCACCGGGAAATATTTCCATGGGTGGGACAGCAAAAAGAAAGTGAAAAAACAAAACCAAAAATAAATAAATAAATAAAACCTAAAAACCAAAGGGACAAGAACTAGTTGAAGGAAGAGGAAGAAAGGAAAGAAACTCAATCCGAACTCCAACATCAAAACAATAATAAAGAATTTGCAGCGATAGGCAAAATACATCAACCAATGAAGGGAGTAGTAACAAAGGA